GCGAATCCGCACCAAATTCGGGGGATCCCTTCAGCTCGAGGAACACTCTCGAACACGAATTGAGTGTACGTCTAGAAGCCCTCTTTCGAATGAGACCACCCCCGCGTCGATAGCCCCCGGGGTTCGGGAGTTATGGGTGGTTAAATTCGCAGTCCGGCGCCGACCGATCTAGCGATCCCAGGGGCTACCGACGCGCGGAGGGTGGCGTTCGAGAGGGCTCCTCGAGCTGAAGGGATCCCCCCGCCGCCGCCGCGTTCGCGAGATAGTGACACCAGCTAACACTTTCACTTCAGTAAGGAGGTCTCTTGTTCAGGCAGCAATATTCAAGCGTTGGCTTATTCGACCGTAAGTGCCCCGCGAAGTGGACTTAACATAAAATTCCGCCATGATTCCAGTTCCAAGGGAACGTACACGTTACATTCAAAGGGCATTAAAGTGCGCGAGACGTGAATTTATATTTATTTACAATATAAGTATTGTTATAAATATTTATTTATTTAGTAAGTTTCGTCTGTGTGTGAAGACAGTAGCGCGAATCCGTGAATGAATGTTCCGAAGTTAAATAAACTTTAACGGAAAAAGTTGAATTGAATTGAATTAAAGTTGAATAAACTTCAACTGTACTGTTCAGTGCACTGATGTCAGACTCATTTTGGATAATAAAGTTTATTGTTAAATGCCCTGCCTCCATTACGTATCTTTGTCACGTCATTATAAGCGTTTCATCACCACATTTGAGTGATCATTGCAAAAAATGTGTTTATGTATATATATTCTGTTTATGTATATACTGTATTCTATATAGTACCAGTCAAATGTTTGGACACACGAATGAGAAAGTGTCCAAACTTTTGACTGGTACTGTACTATAATATACACAAAGAATATTGGCCGATATATCGGTATCGGCCTTTTTTACTCCCTAATATCGATATCGGTCCCCAAAAAACCCATATCGGTCGGGCTCTAATTCTAATAAGCTGATTTATTATCAGTGCTGGAAACAGTTTTGCGGCTTAATTTTTTTTTTTTCAGGATTATTTGATGCATAAAGTTTAAAAGAACAGCATTTATTCAAAATAGAAATATTCTCTAGTAATATACACTACCGTTCAAAAGTTCGGGGTCAGTCATTGTTTTTTGAAAGGAGGATGTGTTAAATTTATCAAAAGTGACAATAAAGACTTGTATTGTTACAAAAGATCTCTATTTTAAATAAATACTGTTCTTTTTAACGTTTTATTCATCAAATAATTCTGAAAAAGTATCACAGTTTCAAAAAGAATATTAGGCAGCAAAACGGTTCCAGCTCTGATAATAAATCAGCATATTAGACTGATTTCTGAAGATCATGTGACACTGAAGACTGGAGTAATGATGCTGAAAATTCAGCTTTACCATCACAGGAATAAATTACATTTTAAAATATATTCAAATAGAAAGCAGCAAAACGGTTCCAGCTCTGATAATAAATCAGCATATTAGACTGATTTCTGAAGATCATGTGACACTGAAGACTGGAGTAATGATGCTGAAAATACAGCTGCGCATCACAGAAATACATTACAGTTTAACAGATATTCACACAGAAAACAGCTGTTTTACATTAGAATATTTCACAATATTAGTGTTTTTTTTTCTGATCAAATAAATGCAGCCTTGATGAGCAGAAGAGGCTTGTTTGAAACATTACAAATCTTTGAACAGCAGTGTATAAGTATATATTCGTGCCGTGAGGGGCCGGTCACCTTCTCAAATCCGTTAAAGGTTTGTGGATCCAAGAACTCCGGGTCACCGGGCTGCCCGGCTCCGTCCGACAGATCCGGGTACAGATTGAGGTCCATGCCGCGTCTGAGCGACACCCGCGGGCGTCAAACTAAGCGACGCGAGAACCAGACATCTGCCGCTAGGCGAAGAGCGATTCCGCGTGACGTCACGAAGGCCGAACGCGTTCGATCATTCCGCTCGACTGCAGGCCTGCCGCGCGCTGCGGAGCCGCTTCTTAAACACCAGCGATAACAGACCAGAGAAAAGCCCAGTCGAAACCCCCGCGGTCCGTTACAGACCAGCGCTCACCGATTAAACGAATCGGCTGCTGTCACGGAGCGACATAAACGCGATCCCCGACGCGCTCACGGTTTCCTCGCAGATCTCCGCGCCGCAGGAGCCGCAGTCGATCCGGAATCACGGATTCGAGACTCGACCAAACCGGCGCGCGGGGGGGGGACGCGTCCGATCGACAACATCAACAGAACCACTGAGCTCCACTTTTACACACAACACCGTAATTATACTACTAAAGCGAGCAGACCGAAACGCAAACAGCACTGTTAGTGTTCAACAGTGTCGTGTAGTGAACAGTAACCCCCCCGCAGGCGCTAATGGTACGCCCCGTGGCCTGCGGATTACGTGCTCCGTATCAGGACTTCATAATTAATGCGTCGGTTTATTTTTACAACACGCTGAATTGGCTGATTGAAATGAGATGATATATTCAGCCTCACAGCACACAGACGCGTGTTTATCAGCAGCTGTAGTAATGTGTGCAAGTGTAATTCTGCAGCGGGACTGAGTTTGTTTGGGCGTTCAGCACTTCTGCCGTCAGCTCGGTCTTCTTACCTCCATACTCGCCCTGAAAACACACGCTTTCCCTCTCTCTCTCTCTCTGTGTGTATGTGTGTGTGTGTCCCATCAAAGCGGTTCTCACGGAAAAAACGCGAACGGATCGCGCATCATCATGGCTCCCGGTCTTCCGGGTTGGAGATGAGCGGATGTGACGCGACGGCGCGGCCCCGCCCCTCACACGATCACCACGGCAACCACAGCTTCCGGCAAAACACCAGAAAAAAAAAATATTTTTTAAATAAAGCCTTGAATGAGTATTTCCGAATCTTTACTTTATATACTTTGTGTGCTTTATATTATTACTTTGTGAATTTTGTACACACGAAACTGCTGACAGATTATTTTTGGTGTTGTCTTTTGTTTAATATTGTCCTCAACTGGACTTTTGTCATGTTTTTTTTTCATAATAATAAAAGGACCAAAATGATTTATTGTAGCTTTGTGAATTTTTAAAGTATTTTAACACATTTCTCACACATATGAATCATGCACAATAAGATCAGAAACATTTTAAAAAAGTAAACAGAAATTTGATTTCATATCACTTTCAGACATGAGAAATGACACAATTAGAAAATAAAACCATAAAACAACATTTTCGTTACTTGACAAAATCAACTTTTAATGGATATAGATTTAGATACATTTTGATAGATATATATATATATTCTTGAGACGCGGGACAAAACAGGTCCAGCAATGGTAACTGCTATTAGCTTTAAAAATTAAAAATAAAAATGCTTTTTTAATGTTGAAAAATAGCTTGTTTTATCAAAAGCAACACTTAATAATATCTCCTATCAAAGCAAGGTTGTTTTTTAATGACACATGCATGTTTAATACGATTTTAAAGTTGCGTCCCCACTTGTTGTCAACACCGTCAGACATTCAATAAACTGTAATAAAATCAGGGAATATCAGGGGCAGCTGTCTCTCTAACGTTCACCTCTGCAGAGTACAGCAGTGTCAGACAGGCTCTGCTCAGTTTTAGTTTTAGAATATTTTAAATCCTAATGTTAATATTTCCTTTGTCACAGCCATGATATGTTAACACCATCTTCCAATTTCTGAGGAAATTATTTGAAGTATTTAGATAATTGTATTCTCCTGAAGCAGGTTCCATTAGCATCTAGCATCAACAGAAACAAATTAAATGGCTACTACATGAACTCCACTGGTTTTGTGAAAGAAATGCCAAATTTGTCACCACCATAAGATCTTGTGTTCCAGTGATATATCAAAATACTTCAATGTGACTCTTGAATAAAAGCTTTATAAACAAAGACACACTCACTGTTTGTTTTAATACAGTAATTGACTGATTCAATGTGTTTGATAGTTCAAATTACTACAAATTCAGGTTTTCGTCACCTCCGTCAGTTGAATGTTTTGATAATATTTCATTATGATATTTTATATTTGTTGTGGAATTGTTGGTCACATGTGAAAGTGTAATCTGTCTGCTAACACGAGAATGTGTTTTGAAATGTTAAAAACATCTTGAATGCTGTTAAAGATAAAGCTGAAATTATATTACACAGTCCAAGCTAAAAAAAAGCACATTTTGTTAAAAAAAGAGAAAAGTTGGGAGGTTGTATCAAAGCATAAGATACATAAATGTAGTTTCATTTGTCTGAGTACAAGGTTTTATTTGTTCAATTTTGCACCCTGTTTTGTCCCACTTCTCAAGTTCTTTTTGGTCCTCGACTCTGATTGGCTGAGAGCCTTTTCCAGCGGTGTGATATTCTAGTGGTAACAGCACTCCAACCGTTTCACCGTTTGTGTCACTCCTGCCGTATTTCTCACAGCGAGTGTCGTGGCGGACGCCCAAATCCACTATAATTTAAAAATAATACTGTTTTTGTGTCATGTGATATAGTTTTAAGAGTTTTTTAGGCGAGAATGTACTTGTTTAGACTTCAAATATGCAGTTTGTTAATAAAGATAAAGTCTATTTGGAAATTTGCTCAGACGTTTTGTTAGATGTGAGCTCCAGGGAATCAGCTCATGAACTCGCCGAGAGCGGCCAGATCTGCCGGAAATCACCGCCGGCTCTGATGTCTCTATAGTGGTTAAACATGAGATATAATTCGTTTGGGGTAATTCTAACAGGCAGTCTTTGCTCTCATTAATCTATTATTGGTTCCAGAGCAAATAGTTTTGGCTGAGGGCAAAATCTCATCACTTATATTATATGTAACGTTAATGCTGTATATCAGAGCGCTGCCTTTGTACTTTTGACTGAATAGCCTTTTTAACTTTTATGATGGCTGTTGCGGTTTATTAAATATTATCATTCAATAAATAATATTTTATTTAACTAATAGTAGTATTTAATAGTATTTAGTATTGTGAAACGGTGTGTCAGTGATGGTGATTAGTCACATTGTTCCATCATTAGATGGCGACAAGAGACAGTTTTTCTGAGTCCGCAGTAAAGACTTTTATATTGAAAGAGACTGAAACGTGATTGTAAACAAGGAAGTTCTTTTTACTTTCAACAACAGCTTAAGATGCAGCCAACAAATTCGGTATTCAAAATTTGAACAGCATGTACACTAAGGCCATCTAAGTAAAAACAAGACTGATATTTGACTAAAACAGGTGCTAAAGAAAAATGTGCCTTTTAGTATCACTGCTGGTCTTCAGCTGTTTCTGACATTTTCTCTTCCTTGTTCGTCTCTTAGTTCTCCGTGTTTGCAAATGTTGTCTTTTAATCAGTGCAAATCCCCGCGCGCTCTCTGAATTAGTGTAACATATAGTCCACTGAACACGAGTTGAAGAACCCAAGTGCAGTTTAATGAAACAAACATGAACTAAACAAACATAAAACTGACATGGAGCATGGACGAGACTTGCCAACAGCGGGTTACATTAACAAAGCTTGGCAAGAGACAATGGCAACATGAGGGCTATATATATATATATATATATATATATATATATATCACATGACACAATCCAACCAATGAAACAAGACACTAAAACAACCAATAGGCTTGTTCGAGATGCATCGGCGCTGCACAGACCGATCAAAGTACTGCAAGAGCAATTCAAAAGCATAAAGAGTCGTCTGCTCTCCAGTCACTCTCGTGGTACTTTGATGTTGTACGCCGATCGGTCTGCGCAGCGCCGATGCATCTCGAACAAGCCTAATAACATCATGACACATTGACTAAGGGATCACATGGCAAGAACACATGAGGGAACAGGAAATCACATGACAATGACAAGAGAAAAAAAAATAAATGACAAGAAACCTTAACCCCAAAACTAAACTAAACCAATGAATCATGACACATAAACCGGTAGCACAAGAGGATACAGAGGAGCACATGAAAACAAGTCTGCGAGTGCAGACCGACCTTTATAATGTTTGAGCAAATGCTGTCTTTATAACATTTTCAAACAAGCCCTATCTAAAGTAGGCTAATATAGTCACTCTTGTGTTACTGTAGATAAAATATTTCCTATTTTTCCCATGTGTTACTCAACCACGTAAAACGGCTTTGAAAAGTTAAATTCTGTGCTTTTTCACTTTATAATGGATGTGTATAGCCTTTGTTCCAGCCAAGTAATATGGTTAAATGGACTTTTTTTTTAAATCAATATCTACATGCTATAAACCCTTGTTCTGTTTTGTTGTTTTAAGGCTTATATATCGAGGCCAACCTGTTGAAACTCGTCTATGAAGAGGTTTGAGCACATGTATAAATCTTTTTCAACACTTAAAAAAACACTTTTATATGCATCCCTATAGGTACAGAAGCCACTCTGAAGAGAGATGCTCTTTCTAGTCTCTCTGTTTAGTAATCAAAGCTAAGACATGATTGCCACGTTCCTACGGCATATAGCGTCGACACTGTGCTGAACGCTCCATTGAATTTCCCTCGGGTGAGCTTTTCTATTTTCTTCATTAAAAGGTTGCTATAAAGTTGTTGTGCTTTATTGCTGGTCATTGAGTTCTAACAAGAAGATCTGAATACTAATCCTGTAACATTTCAGTTTCTGTTAGCGTGACATTCCTGCGATCAGAGAGCGGTGGTGAGCAATTTGAGACAGAGGGGTATGTGCACTAGTTTCTGAGCATCTCAGTTTGTTTCATTCTTGAAGTCCCTTCCTTGCCAGTGGAAATAACTGACCAAACTGAGGCAGCACAGCACAGATGAAAAATGCAATAAATCATCAGCAAAGTCATAAAGCATCAATCAATCATGCCTCGTCATTGTTCACAAATTACCATTTCTTTCTAAAACTATCCAACTTTAGTTGTTTTACCAGTGAGCGAGAGCATTTTGACAGGAGGACTGAACAACAATTAATAGAGAGTCATCTACGGCAGTCATCCTAGTTCATGCTTTTAATAAATGGTGTTAATAAATAATATTGTTGTACACAAAAAAGTTGTCTCTTTCTTCTCAGATGGCTAAATGGCCCTTGGAATTTTAGAAAGGGGGTGAATTGTGTTTATCTTTATAAATTGCTGTTCTGTTGCTGTATGACAACCAGTAGTGAAGCATAAATCAATATTAAATCAATATTTCATTGCTGGTCCGTATGATTACACTGTATGTCTGATGGGCTAAATATGGTTAATATCTGAATGTAACTTTATATATAAATATATATCACTCTGTCTCCTGTACATATGTAAACCTACGGTGAATATAATTAGGCTACAGTAGATCATGTATCATTACATTGTCCATTTGATCCAAATATGTGTATTATTAATTTTTGTGTAATGTTAATGTATAATTTTTTTCAAAAGCACTAATTCAGTTGTCTCCTGTAGGCTATGTATGTAGACCAACAGTGAATATTTACCGATATTTTAATCCGCAGTGCAGATCATCTGATATCTTAGAGAAATGTTTATATTTAAATTCACACAAAAAAAACCCCCTCTCAGTTAGTACATGTCTATGGACGGGACGGTTATTAATGAAGTTTCGAGCGTCGGTACTTCGTTAGTTTCGCCATGTATCAGGAACAACAGGTGCGTAAACCTGCCTGCTTCCGGTCTACGCGCGGAGCTCGAGCTGTGTCGCGCTTCTCCGCCTTCATCGCAACTCTCACACGAGCTCCGACCAGGACTGCATGATCAAGGTTTGGCTAGTGTAATCATGTGTTAATATGCATTGTTCGTTGCTCAAATTGCATTAGTAATTTCTGCGGGTAATTCATTAGAGGCGATGCAGCGATTTCTTTGTAATTAGTCTTCGTTTGGAATAACTAAACTAAATAAAACTCAAAGTTGACAGTTTTTTACTTTTCTCAAGTGGTAATGCCATAATCTTACATCGGGAAATCTGTATGTCTGATGGGCTAAATATGGTTAATATCTGAATGTAACTTTATATATAAATATATATCACTCTGTCTCCTGTACATATGTAAACCTACGGTGAATATAATTAGGCTACAGTAGATCATGTATCATTACATTGTCCATTTGATCCAAATATGTGTATTATTAATTTTTGTGTAATGTTAATGTATAATTTTTTTCAAAAGCACTAATTCAGTTGTCTCCTGTAGGCTATGTATGTAGACCAACAGTGAATATTTACCGATATTTTAATCCGCAGTGCAGATCATCTGATATCTTAGAGAAATGTTTATATTTAAATTCACACAAAAAAAACCCCCTCTCAGTTAGTACATGTCTATGGACGGGACGGTTATTAATGAAGTTTCGAGCGTCGGTACTTCGTTAGTTTCGCCATGTATCAGGAACAACAGGTGCGTAAACCTGCCTGCTTCCGGTCTACGCGCGGAGCTCGAGCTGTGTTGCGCTTCTCCGCCTTCATCGCAAAACTCTCACACGAGCTCCAATCAGGACTGCATGATCAAGGTTTGGCTAGTGTAATCATGTGTTAATATGCATTGTTCGTTGCTCAAATTGCATTAGTAATTTCTGCGGGTAATTCATTAGAGGCGATGCAGCGATTTCTTTGTAATTAGTCTTCGTTTGGAATAACTAAACGAAATAAAACTCAAAGTTGACAGTTTTTTACTTTTCTCAAGTGGTAATGCCATAATCTTACATCGGGAAATTCGCATGATTCTGGATGCGTAACCCGATCTCATGAAAGTGCGTATCACTGCCACGGGTTTCTGTTTATACAGCAGAGCTGCACGAGCCTATGGCGACGAAGCCCGCCAAAGCCCGCCAGAATGGGCGGGGCATC